GAGCCAAAGTGCTTATGGGGGAGGGTTTGCATTCAAAACAAAGACAAAGAAAACCCAACTCTTGCTTATGGAGTGAGTCAGCCAAACACTTGCTGGAGCCTGTGTGTGTGTGTGTGTGTGTGTGTGTGTGTGTGTGTTTTACTTGCTCCAGGGCCCTGCTGGGGGCTGTGCACATGCCAAACACGTGTGTGTGTGTTTATTATACTTGTTCCAGGGCCCTGCTGGGGGCTGTGCACATGCCAAACACTTGTGTGTGTGTGAGTGTGCATGTGTGTAGTTGCTCCAAGACCAGCTGTGTGTGTATTTACTTGTTCCAGGACTCAGCTGGATGTGTGTGTGTGTGTGTGTGTGTGTGTGTGTGTTTGCTTCAGAACCAGCTGGGCTGATGGGGTGGGAGACCCTCCTAGAGTTTGGAGAGTGAGGCAGCCAGGGGGATGGGGCACTCAGCATAACCCTCCCCCAGACACCTCCCACCCAGCTGGGAAAAATAAAAATCAAGTGAGTTACTCCACATTCCTCAGCCCTGCTGGACTCCGGCTGGCTCTGCAGAAAGTGTTGTTTGCGTTCTCACCCTCTGCCTCCCTGACAATCCTCCTTCCTCTCCGAGTCTGTCCAATTTTGGGGGGTGGGGAGAGGCGAAATCCCTTCTGAGGGTCAGCCTGCGGCTTGAGGCTTTTCTCAGGCCCTAATGGGTTAAGTTGGCCCCCTTTCCAGCCTTCCCACACCCATCTTCTTTCCTCCCACTACTTTCTGACACTCCTCCCACACTACTTCTCCCCACTACTTTTTGCCCCAGTACTCAGAGTAAAACTCGGGGGTCTGACCATCTCCTTGCTGAACCTGGTTTGATTCTGTGTTAACAGCAGCTCCCCTTAAGAAGGATTCAGGCTATGCCAGCCCTTGGTCCTCACTCAGGAATGAGTGAGGAGCTTATGGTTCCTGGTGTTTGTGGAGGCTGGGCAGGCTGCTGCACATGACACCCAGGGCTTAGCCCCAGGCACCTTGTGGAATCTGCTTTGGGCTACGTTTCCTTGGAATGTGGTGAGGAGTCCTCCCTTTACGCCCCATTTCAACCTCTGTTTCCCCACTGGTGGAAGGACTCCTGGTGCCTCATTCTTCCAGGCATCTAGGGGCTGGAGAACAGGACTGTCTTTGGGCATTGGCGTGATAGAACTGGGCAAGGGGAACCGGAGACGCTGGAGCAAGCCTGGTGGTGTCTGAGGTTGGGGTTGGAGCCCAGATCCCAGGCCAGGCTGGTCTCCAGGGGTTAGGTGTTGCTGCGTCTCCACTTGGGCAGTTTTCGCCTGTGGGTGTAATTGGAAACAGCCTCCAGAGTAGGCCAGGGCTGCACAGTGGCCATGAGGGCTGGGCCAGGCCCCCCAGGTCTCTCTGCCGGGAAGATCTTGCCCTAACACTCTCCTTGGCAAGATAAAGTCCCAGGAAGCATCCTGTGTGCCTGGCCCTGTTCCCAGCCCTTCTTTCTTGGATTCACCCAAACCTCCTGGTGGGGCTCCCACCTGCCCCCATTTGACAGACTTGAACACTGAGGCACCAAAGAACCTGTGGCTGCTCAAATCTTCCAGACAAGAGCCTGAGGAGTTTGCTGGGTTTTGTTGGGCATCCACATAGCCTGGGGAGCCAGAGAGAGCCTGAACCTCAGGTGAAGATTAAGTGTTGCTGTAGATTAAAGCCAGGGTATCTGCATTTGGAAAGACACTCCAGGTACCACTGAGGCACAGCCGCAGATGAGAACTCCTGGAGGTGACAGGGCGCCGGGGAGGTTTGTGGAGCATGATATGACTGAAGAGGAGCTGGAAAGATGGTTCTTCTATCACCAGGCAGCGGAGCATTTCCTGGAGAGTGAGGACCAGGCAGAGACAGGCGGAGGGTGAAGATGGGGAGAGCGTGGCTGATGGCTTGCACAGAGGAAGAAGCAGCTTGGTGCTCTGGGCTGGGCAGGAGGGTGGGTAGCTTCGTAGGAGAAGCACGTGGGTCCAGTTTGGGATGGATCGCATTCGGGGTGTCTATGGGAGGCGGTGCCCAGCTGGCAGTGGCTGGCAGGGGTGTGGTTTGCTGCAGGAGGCCATGGACGTTGCCTCTGGGCAAATCTGGGTTGGCCATGAGAGAAGGAGGAAGACTCAGCCTCAAGGAGACCCTGTGCTGTGTTTCTAGAGTCCCACCCCCACCCCACTTTCCCTATCTGGCCAGATCTCCCCTCCACTCCCCCCAAATCCCAAAAAAAAACTCTCTGTGTCACTGTGGGATGCTCTTGCAGATGCCCAGGGATCTTCTCATCTGGAGTCTTTCCTCCTCACTGCTGCAGTTCTTCTGATGTTGCACCCAGCCTGGCTGCCAAGCCGGTACACATCTGGCCGTGAAGCTGCAATGCTGTGCATGCATGGTTGTGATGCTATCATCCATATACCCACATGGCTTTGCTCACATGTGGTTGTGATGTTGCAACGCCCTCACATGCATAGTTGTGGTACTGCCGCACACACACTCGTGTGACTGTGATGCTGACCAGGGGGTCTCCTCTGTGGTCAACCCTGTGGTTGTCCTGCACAGTCCAGTCAGAGGGCTCCAGGAGGGCTGTTCCCTGAGCAGTGAAAAGTTTGCACTGAGCAGGCTGCCGGGATCACATACTCAGCAAACCAGGAACCATGCACAGCTTATGTGAGCAACAGTGGGGTCCGAGTCTCGACCTCTCTCCTGCAAGACAGGGACTTTTGCCGTGGAGCCATTCCTGGCTCACACCCAACAGTGCTCAAGGAATCACTCCCAGTGCAGTACTCTGGGCCCCTGTGGCTCCAACCTCTTTTGAACTGGCTCCCAGCCGCCCCATCCCCAACCCACGGGATTTTTTTCTTCCCTTTTTTGGAGTCACACCCAGTGATGCTCAGAAGTTACTCCTGGCTCTGGGCTCAAGAAGTACTCCTGGCGGTACTCAGGGGACCATATGGGATGCCAGGGATTGAGCCTGGGTCTGCCATGTGCAAGGCAAATGCCCTCCCCGCTGTACTGTCACTCCGGTCCCTCCCAGGGGCTTTTAGAACACAGACTGCTTCACTTCGGGGCACCAACAGCCATGAGTGCTCAGTGTGGTTGCTAGGCAGACAGGAGCTGCGGTTATGAGTCAGTGGTCACTGGCTTTCCTGATTGCCACCAACTGCAGCCCTCACACCAAAATCAGGGTGGCCAGGTCCAGTGGGAGACTTGGTCCCATGTCCCTGTCCCCTCCATGACCCCTCCCAATGCCATGGCTGGTAGAGAAGCCTGACCCGGGAATCATGGATGCTGGTGGGAGAAACAGACAGACAGACTGAATCACGGAGCCCAGCTGCACTGTGTGAGCCGGGCAGGTGCCGTGTCCTCTCTGATGCCCACCTTTCTCCTCTCTAAACTGGGGTTGTGGGAAAGGCGGGGAGATGTGGGAAATAATGTGCAAAGCAGATGAAGGGTTCTTGGTGGCAGCCCAGAGCAGAGATTCCTTGGCAGCGATCTGTGCTGAGCAGGGCAGCAGGCCTGGTGTGCTACCTGGATTACTCAGATTCAGCCTCAGAATGTGTGTAAGTGTGTGTGTGTGTCTGTGTGTCTGTGTGTCTGTGTGTGTGCGCGTGCACACATCAAAGAGGGAGGCAGTCTGAGAACTGGGATCTGAGCGAGCAGCAAGTAGAAACCAGAGAGGCAGGACCCTGCCTGGACTCCCAGTAGCTGCCCAGGGAGCTCTGCCCCCTCTTCCAAGTCAGGCCCTTGGTTGGCCCCCCCAGGAGGTAGCACCTCATCCAGACGGGAAGGAATGTAGCAGCCTCATGTGGAGCTGCGGGGTGAGCCAGGGTTGGGAGGAGACCCATGCCTGTTCGCACCCCTCCCTATACTGAGGGGGGGGGGGGGGTGAGGGCCCCGGAAGCACTGGGTAGGGCATCCGGGGAAGAAAAGCCAGGTGGGCGAGGAGCCATGGGCTGGGTGGTGCAGGCTAAGTGTTCCCACATGAGGACACAGGGCCGTGGGGTGTCCAGAAGAATGTTCCCATCCAGTGCCTCCCCCTGGGGTCTGGCCCCAGGCCCCCTCCCTGGCCCACTCCCTCTCTGCCCTCCTGCTTCCAACCTTCTGAGACTCCCGTGTTTTCAGGAAGAAACCCTGATCCTCTGCTAGTTCTCAGAGACCTCCACGTACCGGGCTCTGCCTGCCCTCCTACCAGCTCTGCCTTCCACTAGGTACCAGGACTCCAGAGAGAACCGGAGCATAAGCTTTGCATGTAGGAAACCCAGGATGGATCCCCTGCACTGCATGTTTCCCCAGAGCTATTTCCCAGAGCACTGTCAAACATCTAACCCAGTGTAGCTCAGTGGAAGACCACTTACCTTGTATAAGGCTCTGAGTTCCATTCCCAGCACACACACACCTCTATCTCTTATATTTTGAGGGTCCTGATCACCACCTGGTGTGACCCCCAAAAATATAGAGATAGAGGTGTGTGTTTGTGGGTGTGTGTATGTGTGTGTGTGTGTATGTATGTGTGGTGTGTGGGAATGGAACCCAGAGCCTTGTTCAAGATGAGTAGTCAACCACTGAGCTATATCCCTGGCCCGATATATATATATATAATGATAAGGTAAGGTAAGGTAAAGGCCCTCCCGTTGATCGTCGATTTGCTCGAGCGGGCCCAGTAACGTCTCCATTGGAGACTTTGTTGTTACTGTGTCTGGCATATCGAATACTCTCGGTAGCTTGCCGGCTCTCCGAGAGGGGCGGAGGAATCGAACTCGGGTTGGCCATGTTGGCCGCTTGTAAGGCGAACGCCCTACCGCTGTGCTATGATATACATATATCATTTTTAAAAAGAACACTTTTTAAATGATACATATAATTTAAAACTATATGGAAAATGGCATGTTTCACGTGTAAGTGTTCTCCTTATCAGAAGGCTTCTGTTTCACTGGAAGGGGTCCTTAGGCTGAGGGTCTGTGCCGGCCGTCCAGCCCACCCTGCCTCTCTCACAGGTGTTCGGCGACGGGGACCAGGTGCGCATGACCTCGGAGGGCTCCGACTGCCGCTGCAAATGCATCATGCGGCCGCTGAGCAAGGACGCGTGCAGCCGGGTGCGCAGCGGGCGCGCGCGCGTCGAGGACTTCTACACGGTGGAGACGGTGAGCTCCGGCGCCGACTGCCGCTGCTCCTGCACCGCGCCGCCCTCCTCGCTCAACCCCTGCGAGAACGAGTGGAAGATGGAGAAACTCAAGAAGCAGGCACCTGAGCTCCTCAAGGTGGGCTGGGGGGGGGCATACAGGGAGGGGGTGCAGGTGGAAACACCTCCCCATTGGATGGGGGCCACACGTCCCCCCGGGGGCTCTCAGCCCATTTCCTAGGGATGGAGACAGACTCCCTGAGGCAAAGCACTGACCCAAGGCTGGCAAGTGCCAGAAGCTAGGTTCAGGTTCATCCACGACTTGACCTGACCCAGCCCCTTACCTCCCAGTCCTGTGGCATCTCTTTTACCCCATCTGTTCCTCTGTGGACACCCCGATCTAGAAAGCAGATGTGGAGGGTGGACGGGAGGTGGGTGTTTGTAAATGCAGTTACCATTAATTTATATGAGGAATAAATTGAGCATTTCCAGGGGCTGGAGCAATAGCACAGCGGATAGGGCGTTTGCCTTGCACGTGGCCAACCCGGGTTCGATTCCCAGCATCCCATATGGTCCCCTGAGCACAAGCAGGGGTAATTCCTGAGTGCAGAGCCAGGAGTAACCCCTGTGCATTCGCTGGGTGTGACCCAAAAATAAATAAAAATAAATAAATAAATAAAGCATTTCCAGATTACCCAGAATCAGCTTCCTCCATCCTGCCAATCTGGGAAAGCCTGCACAGTATCTTGTTGTTTGGGGGGGAGGGGAGGGGTGTTTCTCCTGGCTGTCCTCAGGGCTTATTCCTGGTTCTGTGGCCTCTCTTTTACCCTCTTGGATCACTCTTGGAAGGGATTGGGGGACCATATGATGCCAGGGATCAAACCCAGGTCAGCCATATGAAAAGTAAAGACCCTACTAAACCCATGTACTCTCTCTCTACCCCCTAAATAGTTAGCATTTTCTTATGTTGTGTATTGTCATTCTTTGTTTCTTTCATTCTTTGGCTTTGGTTTCATTTTTTGGGCCACACCCAGCAATGCTAGGGCTCGCTCCTGGTTCTGCATCAGGAATTACTCCTGGCAGTGCTTGGTAGACCACATGGGATCTGGGGATCGAACCCAGGTCTGCCACTTGCAAGGGCAAGCACCTTTCGAGCCCCGATGTAAACTGTTTCTAAAGTAGTAGTGACCGTAATTCCTATACTTAGGTGTCGCCTGTATGTTCGTGGTGCTAAAAAGTCTTTTCACACCTTATTTCTGTGCTTTTTTTTTTTTTGGCTTTTTCTTGGGTCACACCTGGTGATGCACAGGGGTTACTCCTGGCTCTGCACTCAGGAATTACCCCTGGCGATGCTCAGGGGACCATATGGTATGCTGAGAATTGAATCTGGGTTGGCCGTGTGCAAGGTAAACGCCCTACCCTCTGTGCTATTACTCCAGCCCCCCCTCCTTTTTTTTGGCTTTCTGTGCTTTTTTTTTTCTGCGTTTTTGGGTCACACTCAACAATGCTCCTGGCTTTGCACTCAGGAATCACTCCTGGCGATGCTCAGGGACCATATGGGATGGTGGGTATTGAACCCAGGTTGGCCACATGCAAGGCAAACACCCTCCCTACTGTACTGTCACTCCAGCCCCTATTTCTGTGAATTCTTAAACCATGCTATGAAATATGGGTCCACTGGCTTCATTTTACAGACAGGAAATCAGTTTTGGAGACTTTGGATAGCTGTCACCAGCTCTCATGTGACCCAAAGCTTTAGCTCTATACTGTGGCTTTATGGGAATGAAATGCACACACACACACACACACACACACACACACACACACACACACCTTCAATGGGCACAGTAGAAAGAAGTCCCACTTCTAGGGGACATAGCCCCTGCCATGACCCACCCCAAGGCCTGTGACTTGTGTGGCCAGCAGGCACTAAGGGCTCGTCTTGCCACACTCAGCTCAGGGCTTGCCTGGTCTGGATACAGCAAGCCTGCTTTCCAGTCCCCACCTGCTGTGACTCCCCTCTTTGTCGGGGGTCAGATTATGGGGTGTCTTTTTTTTTTTTTTTTGTGCCATACCCAGTGTGCTCAGGGGTAGCTCATGGCTCCGTGCTCAGGAATTACAATTACTTCTGGTTGGGCTCAAGAACCATATGGGATTCTGGGGATTGAACCCTGGCCGACTGTGTCGCAAGGCAAGTGCCCTACCCACTGTACTATCTCTCTGGCCCGTATGGACTGTCTTTTGAGAGAGTTTTTTTCATTTTACCCCCGGGGATGAGGTGGTAGAAGGCAGCTGGCTCCTGTACACATTCAAGGGGGTTTTCAAGCCCCGAGCTTAGACTCTCTTTCACTTTTTGCTCCTTTTTTTGGGGGGGTGGGATCACACCGGGCAGTCTCCAGGGCCTTCTTCAGTGCAATGCTCAGAGGTCGGTCCCAGCAGAGCTCAGGCAGTATCAGGCAGTACCCGGGATCCAACCCAGGTCGCCTACAGGCAGAAGCGCACTCAGCCCAATCTGAACTTCTATGATGAGCTCCAAGAGCAAACTTCCCCATCCTGAAAGGAAACATTCTGTGTGTCTAGGGTCACTGGGGGACGAGGGCGTGGGACAGATACTGGCACCATCTCCACACGACTCCCAGAGAAGCCGAGCCCCAGGAAGTGGGGCCTAAACATTCTAGCCCCACGCTGGTGTCTCCTTTAAATCTGACTCTCGGTTTATTTTCGCAGTCCTGCATGGGTACCCAGATGCTCACAGCCGGAGGAGAAGCACTTGGATTTGATTCCAAGTGGCCTCTTGACCACTTGGCAGCCGCTGGATCTCTCTCCCTAGGGCCCTGCAGCCTCCAGGCTCAAGGCCACTGGCCACTCTTGAGTTATAAGGACAGTCTGAGCCAGCTTCGGCTCAATTGCTTGTCAGCAACTAACTTGGAAGCGTATGGATCTAAGGACCCACAAACACTTTTCCTAAGTGCTGACCAGTTTAATCCAGGCCATAGCCCTTCAGAGAGGAAACATATGGTCACTGCTGTATTTGGGGAGGGGGCTCTGAGGCCCAGAGAGGGAGTGTAACTTGCCTAAGATCACACAGCCAAAAGTTGGCTGCATGAAGTGGCAGAAGTTGGTTGTTCTCTCTGTCCCTGGCCCACTGGTAGGCTCTGTCTCAGAGCTTTGTTCCTCTGGCCTGAGATGGACCTTGGGGGTTCCATTCAGCCTTAGAGGACTGGAGCGCGGCAGCAGAGGAATGGACCCAGCAGCTGGGGTTGGCGGGTTTTCTCGAATACCATAGAGACTGGGACTCAAAAGGTGCCCAGAGCACCCCAAGGTTGAAGGAGTCCTTCCCTCCTTCTCAGTAGGGGGCTGTCTGTGGGCCCTGCCCCCAGGGCAGGACCCTCTTACCTTAGACTCACCTCTCACTTCTACCCCAGCCCTTCCCTCCAGCTAAGAACTCCAGCCGCGTGTGAACTCCATTGTTTGCCTCTGAGAGAGCTAGAGAAGATTCCAGATCTTTCTAGGGGAGACTGACTACAAGGGTCCCCTCTCACATCTTTACACCCTTTCCTTGTGGACCAGAACCCAGCTACAGCCCTAACTTTTTGGTGTCTCCAGTCTAGTGGGGGGATGAAAACCCCAGCAGTAGTGAGGTGATTGGTGCAGGGACTAGGGATAGCCCGAGATCTCAGGGCTTCAGGCACTGAGGCCAGGGCCCAGTTGAAAGCTGTGGTCGTATTGGAGCTGAGGGCTTTGCGGAGTGTCGAGGAGTCCATAAGCGAAGGAGTCGGCACTCCCAGTAAGAGACGCAGTCTGCTGATTGCTGGCTTTCTTGCCCTGTTCCAGCTCCAGCCCAGCTAGCCTCCCATCAGTGCCTCCAAAAGAAGGTGCCTGCACTCTCTGTAGTGAAAGACAGTTTTTTTTTTGATTGATCAGATGCCGTTTATTCCATTCTCCCCATGCATCTGCCCCAGTCTCTCTGAGCCTCCCATTCTAGTCTCCACTGCTCCTCATTCCTCTCTTCTCCTGTCTCTCCCGCTCATCTCCCTCCACTCCATCTCGCAGCCTCGGCTCTCTCTTTCTCCACGTGCTTGCTCCTGTATTCTTCTTCTACATTCTTCTGTCTCTGTCCCCTTTGCTAGCCTCTCCCCAGTCCATCATGCTGCCCTGCTCTCTCTCTCTCCCCAGCTCTCTCCAGCTCTCTTGGAAAGACAGTTTTTAAAAATAATGATAATGGGGGGCTGGGGGGGGCTGGAGTGATAAGCACAGTGGGTAGGACATTTGCCTTGCATGTGGCCAACCCGGGTTCAATTCCCAGCATCCCATAGGGTCCCCTGGGCATCGCCAGGAGTAACTCCTGAGTGCAGATCCAGGAGTAACCCCTGTGCATTGCCAGTTGTCACCCAAAAAAGCAAAATAAATAAAATAAAAAGATAATAATGATAAATAACAACTATCAAGAACCTGTACTTTTCTAAAACAGCACGAAGTTGATTCAGGGCCAGAGAGCTCAACAAGCTGAAAGCTTCCTTCGCAGGTTCAGTCCTCAGAATCATGTGTTGAGCTGTGGGGTGTGTCCCTGGTAAGACCCTGCCCTGCAAAACCAAAAGAGGATAATGAAAGAGCTACTGGAGTGATAGTATAGCAGGTTGAAGCACTTGCCTACACACAGATGACCTGGGTTCGAACCCCATATGGTCCCCTGACCTCTGATCACTATCCCTGAGCACAGAGCCAGGAGTGAGCCCTTAACACAACTGGGCATGTCACAAAAAAAAAAAAAATAGGACCAGAGACACAGTGCGGGGTTCAGGCACTTGCCTTGCATACAGCCGACCCCTATCCAGTTTCCAGCACCCCAGATGGTCCCCCAGCACCACCAAGAATTACTCCCAAGTACAGCGCCAGGAATAGCTCTGAGTGCTGCCCTGGTGTGGCCATGAAACAAAATTAAATAAAGCTGCTAAACATGTACTCTTGCCACTTACTGTGCAGTACTTTCTCATGGACCAGAACTAGGCAGGCGGCCTGCCACACTTAGAGGAACACGGCCACAACCATGCACCTCTCCCCTCCAGCACTTGGCATCAGCTGTCTGTGATACCGGAAGTGCCCTTCTCCTACCATCTTGTCTAACTCACACTCCTCCTCCAGAGTTCAACTTCAGCTAGACCTGCCTGCTGGCCCTGACCCACATCAGCCCCAGGACACGCCCAGCGCCCGGCAGCAGGATCCAGCCTTGCTGTATCCTCCATTCCTGGTCTTGGCTCATCCCCTTCTCCAGCCTCTGGCCCCGAGCACTCACCTGCCCAGGTCAGGAAGGTGGCAGAGCCTGGAGGGCTCAGATGCCCGACTCAGGAGATGAGCAGCTGCACATGGGCCGCAGCAAACCTCAGCTGGTTCTGCAGCCGGGGGATACCGTGTCTGAAGGCTGGAGCAACAGGACAGCAAGAGCTAATTTAGATGCAATCCTCGGCTCCACATATGGTCTCTCAAGCACTGCTAGGAGTGATCACTGAGCCTCGAGTTAGGAGTAAGCCCTGAGCACAGTCAGGTGTGACCCAAAAGCCAAGTTAAAAAAGTGGAAAAAAAAAAAAAACACATGGAGGGCTGGAATGATAGCACAGCAGGTAGGGCATTTGCCTTGCACGTGGCATTTGCCTTGCACGTGGCCATGTTCCTCTAAGTGTGGCAGGCCACCTGCCTAGTTCTGGTCCATGAGAAAGTACTGCACAGTAAGTGACAAGAGTACATGTTTAGCAGCTTTATTTAACTTTGTTTCATGGCCACATCAGGGCAGCACTCAGAGCTATTCCTGGCGCTGTACTTTGGGGTAATTCTTGGTGGTGCTGGGGTCCATCTGGGGTGCTGAATACTGGATAGGAGGTGATTGTATGCAAGGCAAGCACCCGAACCCCGCACTGTGCCAGGTTCGATTCCCAGCATCCCATATGGCCCCCCAAGCACTGCCAGGAGTAATTCCTGAGTGCATGAGCCAGGAGTAACACCTGTGCATCGCCGGGTGTGACCCAAAAAGCAAAAAAAAAAAAAAAAAACCAAACACGGTCTTCGCTGAGTTTGGGGGAGGCCGACTGGACTGGTTCCCCCAGAAGAGCTGACCCTCTAGAACAGAACACTTCATCTAGGGTGGAGATTGGGAGTGGAGATAGACAGGGGTTGGGTCACACCTGGTGGTGTTCAGAAGTTACTCCCGGAAATGCTCAGGGTCAACCGTGCGCAAGGCAGACACCTGAGGCCCTGTACTATCCCTCTGGCTGATTCCCAATCCCTGACTCTGTGCTGGGCCCTGTCCACGCAATGCTGTTTCTCATTACAACCCCACTGCCCCATTTCACAGAGAAGGAAGCTGAGGCCCTTGCAAGGCTGTTCGTGGCTCCTCAGCGGGGTACCACAGAGCCTCAGGGGATGTAGGAGAGGTCAGGGCTGAACAAGATTGGAGGCAGCCCGGGAAGGCGCAGAGCTTGCGTCCGTCAGAGCTCTCTGCCTAGTTTTCTGTTAGAGATCAGTCCTGGAGCAACGCTTTAAGCTTCACATGGCTTGAGCAGTGCCAGGAAGGTAGGAGGCAGCCGTGTGAGCAGCAGCAGGCAAGGCTTGAAGTGACCGCAGGCTTGGAGTGGTGCCCACTGCAGGGTGACCTGGGCTGGGGGGCGCTGTCCTTCCTGAACGGCCAGTTTCCCAGCCGGCCCCCAGTGCCAAAGCTTCCCTGACGCCCTGAGCCATCTGGGGGAAGTGTGGTGTCAGGTCAGGAGCGGAGACAGGGCTGGGCACAGAGGGACAGTCACAGGAAAGAGCCCTCCACTGGGCAACACACAGTCAACATCTGCCCCGACCAATGGCTCAAACCTGTCCCTGCGTCCTACCCTCTGGAGCGATGCCATGGGCGTGGGAAGAGGCTGAGTTTACTCCGGTCTGGGATCTCTTCCAGGCTCATCTGCCAAGCAGCCAGGTGGCCGTGGGTGGCTGCAGGCTGGGCACCTCACCTCGCTAAGCATCACTCCCTTTTCACTGTAGGTGGGAACCCCAGAAAACCAGCTCCCGAGGGCAGTGACTCAGGCACAGGTGCTCAGGGGCTAAGTGGGAGGACGGGGTATGGTCTGGGGCCACGTGCCAGCACTGTCCCAGAGTGTGACCGAGACACCAGAGTGTGACTCAGTTGTCCCACTGGGGTGCAGGAGCTGTGCTTGTCCACGTCCTCGTCATCCGGCTGGCCCAGCAGGAAGATATACACACCTGGACACTCTGTGGGCAAAGAAGCTCTCTGGAGAGCGTTGGAGACCTCGGCCCTGGAAGGGGGGAACACGGCAGCCAGGGATGGGCACAGAGATGGTCTGAGATATCCAGAGGGGCGTGGGTGCAGCTCCTCGCATGCCCACTGTCCACCTCCCGGGTTAGCGTGAGGCTCAAGGGCAATAGCCCATCTCACCCCACCAGTGCCTGCCCCATGGTAAGTGCCCTGAAGTGGAGCTGGCAGCTGTGGTTTTTCTCCTCCTCCTTCTCCCCTCTCCTCCTCCTTCTCCTTCTATCCTTCTCCTTCTTTTCTCCTCCTTTTCTTCTCTTCTCCTTCTTTTTCTTCTTCTTTGCTTTCGGTCACACCTGGCAATACTCAGGCCTTTCTCCTGATTCCGCGCTCAGGGATCACTCCTATTGGGCTCAGGGGACTCTATGAGGTGCCAGGTGAGCCACATGCAAGGCAAGCACCCCATGCCCTGTACTGTCTCTCCAGCCCCCCATTTTTTAGGGTGCCACCACTAGCAATGCTCAGGAGCTCCCACAGTGCTCTGGGAATCATGCAGCGTGTGACTCAGCACTGGGCCTGTGAAGCCCCTGCTCAGCCTGTGAGCCCTCCCGGTCCTTCCCATGGTCCTTGGTGCCTGGGGTCCAGGCTGAGCAGGCTGTATGGAGGCTTGAAGCCACAGCTGTACTGACCCTGACCTTCCTCGGCAGCTGCAGTCCATGGTGGACCTTCTGGAGGGCACCCTGTACAGTCTGGACCTGATGAAGGTGCACGCCTACGTCCGCAAGGTGGCCTCCCAGATGGACACGCTAGAAGAGGTGAGCACGGGGCTGCAGCCAGAGGCCAGGGTGGTCGGGGGTTGGGGCTGAGACAGTGACCTCAGGGCCTTGGGCCATTCTGCCTGGTTGCTGGTGGCCACTGGAGGAAACTGGAGGCTGGGGTGAGACCCAGGGGCCTGCAGGAAGCTGGAAGACTGGGCACAGAAACTGACACCCACACTGGCAACACACTGGATAACTCTGAGCCCCCATGCACACAAACCATGTGAGGGGGATCTTTTTTTTGCTTTTGGGGTCACACCTAGCAATGCTCAGGGGTAACTCCTGGCTCTGCACTCATGAGTTACTCCTGGCGGTGCTTGGGAGACCATATGGGATGCTGGGGATCGAACCCGGGTCAGCTGCATGCAAGGCAAATGCCCTACCTGCTGTACTATCACTCCGACCCCGAGGGGGACCTTCTTGGGGAGAGGGGGCTGCCTGGTGAGGGCAGGGACGGGTGAGAGGGGCACAGGAGGGTCCCATCTGCAGGCTCAGGGTTTGCATCTCTGCTGGCACTGCCTGTTTCCTGCATCCGGCCTGTGCCGAGAGCCGGGGATGTGCCCTGGCCAGGAGCGGGCGTGGGGCTTCCTTTCCCAGTTTCCTTTCCAGAGCAGGGGGGCACCTAGGCATCCTGGTGGGGAATTAACCCCCTAGAAGCCCCAAAGGCAGAGTTCCAGTAGCTTTGGTAGTTCTAAAGGCGTCGGGTCCATGCCAGGCCCAGGAGAAAGGGGACAGTGGTAGAATATCCTACGACCCTGACCCTGTGGTTCAGGGCACACGCCAGACTCTCTGCTGCCTGCCCTCGCCCTGGCACTTGCCTCCTTAGGAAACGCTCCCTCCCTGCATGTCATGAGCGGCCAAGTCTGCTGCGGGGACTGGAACAAATCAGAAATGGTTTCCGCAGTCTCAAAGAAATAGCATTTCAATTATCTTCTGTTTTGCATTATCTGCATTTTGCTTCTGTTCACCACTCTCTGGAAATCAGCCCTCGCAGGAGAAGGGGGAGAAGCTGACTCGCTCTGCCCAAGGGGAAAGGAAGAGGCGGGGGGGGTTCCAGCAGCAGCAGTCTGCACCCCAGCTTCCCATCCCCCTCCTCTACTCGTGGTTCTCATTTGGGGCAATTCTGCTCCCTAGGAAGCAGGCAGCCTGAACAGAGACTGTCACAGCTCAGGAAAGAAAAAGTGGTAGGTCCTGTTGACTCAGGTGGGGACAGGCAGAGGTGCTACTAAGAGCAATCCAGTGCCCAGGGCCACATCCACCAGGCACAGCCACACCTGAAACTAAGAAGCCCTTTCCTGGAGCCCGCCTCTGTCTTCCTCAGCATCCTTGGCCTTCCTGGTTCTCACTGGAACCTTGACCCAGAGTTACGATGGTAACATATAGTTAATATGTGATCCTCATTTTGCAGGTTAGGGAACCCCAGCTCAGGGAGGTAGGGTCACTGGCAGCAGGGGGAGAGAGGCGGGCTCCAGGGCATCTCTTGCCTCTCCTCTCCTCTCCTCTCCTCTCCTCTCCTCTCCTCTCCTCTCCTCTCCTCTCCTCTCCTCTCCTCTTTTCTCTTCCAAGTGTCTCACAACGGAGCTCTTTTCTTTGGGGGCAGGAGGCACACTTGATGGTGCTCAGGGATTACTCCTGGCTTTGTGCTTGGGGATCACTCCTAGCGGGGCTCCGAGGACCATACAGGATGATGGGGATCAAACCCAGGTTGGCTGCTTGCTGAGCAAGCACCCTACCCACTGTACCAGGGTTTCAACGAGTTTCAACTCGGATCCTCCATGGGTGCTGCTGACATCTGGGTCTAGTCCTTCCCGTCTGCTGGGAAACAGCGGCGAGGAAGCTGGGCTCTGGGACAGCTGCCACACTGGTCCAGTTTCCTGCCCCATGGACGAGGCTAACTCAGGTCACAGCTCAGTTATGGGAGCCCTGGGTGAGGAATGACCTTCACACCAAAAGGTGCCTGGTAGCTCCGCAGGGGAGGGGGGCTGGAGACTGCACTTAGGGGGAAGCACATGCTTTGTACATACTGGGCTCAATCTCCAGCATCTCCCCCAAGTTAGCAGCATAGAAAGAAAGTATATATTTATTGATTACTTGGGTTTGAGCCCTGGCACTGGGGGAAAAAAAAAGGATTAGAGTCAAGATAATGTCAGTGGGAAGGGCTGGATAAATGTGGCTGAATAAATGTGACATGCCAGGGCCTGACACAGGTCCCAAAACAGGATCCAGAGAAAAGGCAGAGGTCAAGCCTCACAGGTTGAGACCCATTCCCACAGTCAACAGAGAGAAACAAAGGGGGAGACGGCACCATAGCCTGAATTTAGTGCTTGGGGGCCTAGAGAGGTGGTACAGCAGGTACGTGCTGGCCTTGCACAGGGCCCACCCTGGCAGAAGAGACGGTCCCCTATCAGGAGTGATCCCGGGGCACAGAACCAAAGCAAGCCCTGAGCACTGCTGGGTGTGGCCCAAACCTGCCCACCACACAAAATTTAGTAGTCTGAACATATATTTATCTGTTTTTTTTCATTCATTTATTTACTTACTGATTTGGGCCACACCCAGGGTGCTCAAGAATCACTCCTGGCAGAGCTTGGGGACAAGGTGACATGCCAGGAATCGAACCCGGATCAACGGCATACAAGGCAAGCACCTTATCCTGTGTACTGTCCCTCCAACAGCAAGTTTTTCATTTTCCTAAAGTAAGAATTCAGTAATGTGGGGCTAGAGCGATAGTACAGGGGATAGGGTGTTTGCCTTGCACGCAGTCAACCCGGGTTCGATCCCCAGAATCCCATATGGTCCCCTGATTACTGCCAGGAGTAATTCCTTGAGTGCAGAGCCTGGAGTAACCCCTGTGCATTGCCGGGTGTAACCCAAAAAGCCCAAAAACAATTTAGCAATGAGAGGGTCAGAGAGATAGGACAGCAGGTAGGGTGCTTGCATGGAACCAACCCAGCTTGGATCCTTGGTGCCCCATCTGGGCTCCTGAGCCTGAGTGATCCTGGGCACAGAGCCAGGAATAAGCCTGAATTCCACCAGGTATGCCCCGAAAACAAAAACAAACAGCAACAAAAAGAATCTATTCATGAGGGCCCAAGAAGATACTGCAGAGGGCAGGAGCTGAGGCTTCATATGGAGGAGCCCCAGATTATGTCCCTGGCCGTGCAGGGTTCCCCACGGTCGGGGACAGCCCCTGAGCCACTCCAGGTGGGCCCCAAAACAAAAATCTTTGGGCAGCCTGGCTTTGGTGCACATCTCATCACACAGACGCCCTAGGTCCTACCGTGCAGGTGGGGCAGCTCAGCCTGATGGATGGCAGAGGTCAGGCGTCCCGGGACAGGGCAGGGGCAGGTCAGAGGAAAGAACGCGGGTCCCACCCCACAGAACATCAAGGCCAACCTGAGCCGGGAGAACGAGGAGGTGCGGGAGAGCGTGCGGCACGTCAGTGAGCAGCTGCGGCGCTATGAGAACCACTCGGCCATCATGACGGGCATCCGGAAGGAGCTGGCCAGCCTGGGCCTCCAGCTGCTGCAGAAGGACGCTGCGGCCGTCCCCGCTGCCCCAGCTACCATCCCCGGGAGCATCTCTCAGGTGAGGCTGCAGCCTTGGGGCCTGAATGCGGTGGGCACAAGGGGCTGGTGCCCCCAAGTTTCCCAATGCCAGCTGCTGAGGCTGGCACAGCCAGAGTAGCCATGGCGGGACCAGACCCGGGGACTGGGTGGCTGCTGGACACAGGACATGGGGGCAGAGGTGGGGATCCAGCTGGGAGTGGGACTCACTTGTCCCCCGCTCCTGATCCTGAACCAGGGCGGGGGCTGGGTGGAATTCTCCTTCACTGTCCAATGTAGCAGGGACAGGGCAGTAGAGATGACCTTTCCTGGTTGGCCCTGAGACCCTAGGCCAGTTGCAACCACCCTGCATCAAAGGTCCCTTCAGACTACAGCAGTTCAGCCAACCCCACGCAGGACGCAGCCGATCTGTCACTCTGCGTCAAGCTCAGCACATCAAAGTGCTACTGGGGCTCACCAGGGAGAGCACACCCCAGCCCACCCATATCCCTTGGGTGCAACTGAAAAGCCCCCCCCCCGGCTGCCTTGGATGCAGCTGGTTCAAACGCTGGTATTGTCTAGTACCCCCTCAGGAGTGACTCCTGACACAGAGCTAGGTGGAGCCCCTGAGGACCACCCGGTATGGCCCACAGATACAAATCAAGGGTCCCTCCAGTGCCAGAGAGAATGGTCAGGGGCTAAGGTGAGTCTTGCTGCTCCATCCCTGGTAACGCTTGGTTCCTCTAAGCACTGATGGGTGCAGCCCTGAAGGTCCCCAGCACTGCCAGAGCGACCCTGGTAACCCCTGGCACCACAGGACCCCAAGAGGTACCATAGTCTGGCATTGAACTCTCGGTGCTTTGGGTCAGGAATCACCAGCGGGGATCCCCCAAGCAGATGACCAGGTGCTCGCTCGGGTGGGGTGGATGCACTGTGCAGGCTCCTCCCTGTCATGGAGAGAGCTGGACCCTGAAGCTCCCTTTCAGGTCCTCTGTGTCTCTGGGGCAGCCCTGCACCCCTGGGTGACCTTTGTTTCCAGTGAGGCAGGCGGAGGGAGCCAATGGTGGTGGAATCCCACCTCTCTGCTGGGCCGGCTCCTCACAGGGCTAAGGTGGTCCCTAAGCAATGGTTGGTTGGAGGGGTGCTCCCCGGGCACCTGGAAGAGTGGAGGGGCCAGGTCAGAAGCAGGATCAGAGCTAGTGTGAGGGCTGGTGCGTGTCCTTCCTCCTGGGGTGACGTTTTGATCAGGGGCCATTTGTGTCTGCCAGGGACACCGCCCACAGCAGATAAAGCATGGAGAAAGCCTGGTCCTTGGCCTGGGGTTGGCTTCCTGCTTGCTCCCTGGCCAAGCCCATGGGCGTGACTGAGTCTTGTGTTGGCAGCGATGGCAGGTCGATGCTCAACTCGCTGTCTCCTGAACAGACCGCTCACAATAGGGCGCATCGTGCACCCTCTGTTCCTGTGCCAGGCTAGCATTAGGCTAGCATTAGGGGCATCAAAGGGGAAGATGGCAATGTACACACCATGCTATAAAGAGCATGTCTGGGGGCTGGGGCTGGGGGTGGGGGGCAGCTGTGCCGGTCCACCCCAGCAGAAGGGTTTCCAGGATGCAGGAATTCAGTGCCAGAAGTTCTGAGCACAGGAAGCTGAGTGGGGTCCCGGCCAAGGGACTGAGAGAGCACGGAGGGAGTGAAACAGGAGAACCTGGGGCTGAGGAGATGGCTTAAGATGGGCGCACAGGAAGCACCACACAGAGGAGCCCCAGGTTCTATCCCTGGCATCGCATGGTCCCCCGAGCACTGTCAGGAGTGACCCTGAGCACCTTGATGATCAGCTGCTTCCAAACAGCCAGAGTTGGGAGCTGACTCGGCTGGGGAAGTGAAGAGGAGTTGGGAAGTGAGACAGGGCTCTCGCCTCACAGGCTAAACTCTACTCCTGCAGGGGAGCTAGAGCTGAGTGAGGAAACCGAGGCACCACTGGTCATGAATGTAGCCTGGAAAGCTGGGACTTCAATGTAGCCTGGAAAGCTGGGACTTCATGAGCACCTGGGACACAGGGCCTGGAGCAGCATGGCCACTCCAGCCCCCCCCCCCCCACTAAGCCTCAGTGACCCCACACATCCCTTAACTACCCTCAACTCTGAGCCTGCCCTTCTCTCCCAGGACACGGCCGGAGGGAAAAGCAAGGACGCCAGCAAATACAGCAGCATGCAGAAGAGCTTTGTGGACAAGGGCCCCCCAAAGCCCCCCAAGGAGAAGCCACTGAAGGTGGAGAAGGCCAGGAAGGAGAGCAGCAAGGGCAGACCCCCGCAGCCCACAGCCAAGCCCCGGGCCCTGGCGCAGCAGCAGGCTGTGATCCGAGGCATCACCTACTACAAGGCCGACCAGAAGGAGGCGACCGAGGCTGTGGCCGGTGAGCTGGCGGTGGGAGCCACTGGATTTGAGGAGAGTGGATGGATGCAGCCCCCCAAGCATTCCTGAGAGGGATCCATGGGTTTTGGCTTTTTTTTGGGGGGGGAGGGGTTGGTGCCACACCCAGCAATGCTTGGGGCTTATTCCTGGGTCTACATTCAGAATTACTCCTATTACTCCTGGCAGTGCTCAGGGAACCATATGGGATGCTGGGGCTCAAACCTAGGTTGGCATTGTGCATGGCAAGCGCCCTACCCACTACTATAGCTCTGCCTCCCCTATTTTTTTTTCTTTCTGGGTCATAGCCGGCGATGCTCAGGGGTCACTCCTGGCTTTGCACTCAGAAATTACTCTTGGCAGTGCTTGGGGGAACCATATGGGATGCTGGTGATCAAACCCAGGTTAGCCACGTGCAAGCCATGTGCCCACGATGCTCTCTGTGCAGTACACCAGGGCCTTCTCTCTAGTTAAATGGCCGATGTCTCAGCTCTGCCTGCCAGGCACCCTTCGCTCCAGCTCCCTGGGGTGGTTGGGAATGAGATGTCACAGAGTTTGTAGTCGCTGCCACCGTGAGTCCTTTCCCTCTGCTCTCCAGCTTGGTGGCACTGTGTTTGCGGCTCCGGAAGAGACTGTTGACACAGCAGAGCTTGTCAAAGAAAGGGGGAGAGCATCCCCAGGTGGGCGGAAGGCCCCGGGGACATAGCCAGATCCAAGCTCCAGGGGTCTGGCATATAGGGGACCTTGTGGCCCCCCATTTCCAGACTGGCCTCACCAGAGAGCACCCACAAACTGTTGCATCTCCCCGATAGTGATAGCTCCCCCATCTCATCCCTGAGAAGTAAGCAATATAATTAAGAAATGAAACTCCCAAGAACCCCCACATTTCTGAGCCGTCATTCCTGCCACGGTGTCTCCTACCCCTCTGAGACCCTCCCCAATACCCCTTCTCTCGCTGTGTCCCTCGCGGTTAGCCAGCTTGCTCCCCCTTTCCTGGAGCCTGCTGACCGTCTCCTCCGGGGGTGCTGGGGTGTCCAGGGGAACCTCTAAGAACTGGCCTCCTTCGAGAATTCCCTTGTTTCTTGGCCTCTGGCCTCTGGGGACAGTGTCCTGGGCTCCAGCAGTCCTGCCTGGTCACTGCACAGACTACTTCTGTCCACTGCCGAACCCTGGTTGCCACCCTATCCTGTAGCAGCTGCAGCTCTGCGCCTGCCAGCAAGGCCCATGGGAACCAGGCCCCATACTGGCAAACTGCCATCCGCCCCCTGCTTCCAGCAAGGGGGGGTGTCTCTGTGCCGGGAAGGTCAAGGGCTGGGGTGCCAAGGGCCTGTTCCACCCCGTGCAGAGGGAGCTCATCAGGGAACAAAAGGCAAGAACCAGATCCTTGTCCTCAAACAGAGGGGCCTTGGCATGCCCTGGGGCCCTCTACCCAGAGAGTCAGCTTCCGGGGTGCTTCACACATGCCATGGCGCTGGGAATGGGACAGTTGGGGCTGAGCCGCCGGCTGAGACCCTTCTAGGACCTGTCCCAGAGCTGAGGGGTCTGTACCCTGGCTGGTGACGCACACGCTTCCCCTCTTGGGCCATCGGTCCCAGCCCAGAGAAGCCAGCGGTCAGGGCTGTCCTAGATGCTCGCTAGACCTGCACCCCCACGCACCCCCTCAGCACAGCCCCCAGCCCGGGCAGCGCTGTGAGAAACGGGGAGATCCGAGAAGGCCGAGACAGTGGGGCAGAAAGGGAAAGGTGGGTCCAAGGGTGCCAGGAGCTGCTTCCAGTGGCCAGTACTGGGGGGATGGGGAGGTGAGGGACAGGGGAGACAAAGGAAGTGTGACATGGGAGCAGTGCTCGCCCCCCAGGACTGAATCGGGGGACATGAGAGGCTGGTCAGTGTTTCACTGATGAGGTTGCCAGCTATACACCTGGCCACTGCGCCTGGCCATTGCATCTGGGCACCTGGCCGAGGCCTCGTGTGTAGTAAGCAGCGCAGAGCCCAGTCACGGACCCCAAGTTCTCCTAAGCCCCACTTCCAGGCCTTTAGCCCCCCAGCACCCCCTACTCTGGGACCAAAGCAGGGCCCTCGCCTCAGAGAGCGCATCTTCTCCCCACAGACAGCACCCTTGGGAGCACTTCCTGGCTGGAGCAGCAGCCGTCCAAAGGGGTCGGCAAGTCGTTGGAGCCAAGCTCGACAGAGCTCGAGGAGGCTGCACCCCACACCTCTGAGGGGACTCTCTTAGCCTCCAGCACCCCTGCCTCAGAGCCCCCCACATCCCCCACGACCACCCCCACCACCAGTGTCCTGCCTACGGTTGCACCTTCGCCCTCAGAAGTGCCCAGCCAAGGTGAGTCGCCTCAATAGAGGTCAGCAGATGCCAGCCTGCTTTGGAAGGGCCAGTGAGCTAAGAATGGTTCTCGCATCGTTAAAGGGGAGAAAAAGATGAAAGGGCCCAGGGAGAGACTCAGGGGGTGGGGCGCACTCGACCTGCAGGCCCCAAGCAGCCGCATGTCCTTAGCTCTGAGCATTGAACTGCCTGCCCACCCAATTGGTTAAGTATTGCCAGGCTGGTCCCTATACCTCCTGAGCACTGTTTGAGAATATCTGCCCACCAAAAAATCAAGAAGAAAGAAGGGGGAGGGGGGAGAAGGGGGAGAATAGGGAGAAGAAGGAGGAAAAGGAGGAGGAGGAGGAGGAGGAGGAGGAGGAGGAAGAGGAGGAATCATCGTCATCGTCACTGGTGTGAAAAATAAATGTTCATTGACCCCTTACAGAAACGGGGAGTACATCACACCCATTCTGCAAGCACCCCAGAACCCCTTCAATCTAGAAATTTCTCCCATGTCTTCATTTTCTCCATCCAATCTTCAGTCCTGTTTTATGCCCACTGCAAGGGCTGAAGAAATCTTCCTTAAGCCTCACACCTGCCTGTTTGTTTCAAGGGAACCGGATCCCCTTGATCAGCCTTAAGACTGGCTCCTTTGGGCTGGAAGAATAGCACAGCATGTAGGGCATTTGCCTTGCACATGGCCGGCTGACCCAGGTTCAATTCCCAGCATCCCATATGGTCTCCCGAGTACTGCCGGAATAATTCCTGAGTGCATGAGCCTGAGCATTGCCTGGGTGTGACCCAAAAAGCAAAAAAAAAAAGACTGGCTCCTTTACCCTGAGCATTGCTGGGTGCCTCCCCCCAGCCCCCAGAGACCAACCCCTGCTTGGTCCCCACGCAGCCCTTCTCGGAATCTGCCCCAAAGGCCCCATCAGCACACGTGTCCCTCTGACCTGTCTTCTCTCAGCCCGTGTTCGACGTCAGAGGCTGGGGCAGCCTCAGGGTCTCACTGAGTGGTCGGGTATATGAATCAGAGAGCACAGCTGTCCAGAGCCTGGCCAGCCTTGAAATCACATCATGAAAAGGCCACTTAATGAAGTGAGAAATTGCTCAGCAGAGAGAAACACAGGCTACATCAGGTCTATATACTCTGAAAAAAAAAAAAAAACAGGGGTCCATTAAGTCAGTCAGCTTGCAAAGAAATCAAGAGGAAGAAAACTGCATGTTCACAGACTTCTCTGGACAGCGGTGTTTTCCACCATGGTTTACAGTCGTGTTCCTATTAGCATCTCGGGGGTCTTTAAGCATGCAAGGTCACCGCACCCCTCCTCGGTCCCCCTCTCAGGCTCAGGTCCAGAGTCACTCTTGAGTCCCTTATCATTGGCTATTATTTAGTCCCTTGCTGTGTGCCTTGATGCGCCACAGATGAGTGAGATCATCTGATATTTGTCTTTCTCCCTCTGACTCATTCCCTTAGCACGACCCCTTCCAGTTCCATCCATGCCGCTGTGAACTGCAGAATTTCTTTCCCTGTAGCTAAGAGATACTCTGCTGTGTAGAGGCCAGTTTCCTCACCCACTCCTCTGTCACTGGGTCACTGGGCTGTTTCCAGTTCCTGGCTACGGTGAACAGTGCTACAGTGAACATACGTGTTACATATGCCTTTTTAAATTTATGTTTCCAAGTTCTAGGGAAGTGTGCCAAGTAATGGAATTGCTGGCTTGTGAAAGCTTTATTCCTACAGGAAACACTATTCTTACATTTTCTGGTGGGGACAGAGGGTCAGGCACACCCAGCAGTGCTCAGGGGCTGCTCCCTGCTCTGTGCTTGGGGTGTTGGGGGAGGCACACAGTGGTGGTCAGGGGACCACACAATGCCAGGAATCAGCTGAACCCAGACCAGCCACATGCAAGGTAAGCACCTGCTGTTTTTCTGGACCTCTATTCTCTCCCCCCATTTCTCTCTCTCTCTCTCTCTCTCTCTCTCTCTCTCTCTCTCTCTCTCTCTCTCTCTCTCTCTCTCTCCTCCCTCTCCTTCTTTCCCTCCTCATCTCTTTCTCTTCTCTCTCTTCTCTCTCCTTCTCTCCTCAATCTCCTTCTCTCTCTCCTCATCTCTTTTTCCTTCTCTCCTCTCTCTCTCTCTCTCTCTCTCTCTCTCTCTCTCTCTCTCTCTCATCAAACCCACAGCCCTAGCCCTTTGAGTTCCCCCTTGCCCTGTTCTGTATTTTCTAACAGACCAGGCATTCCTGGAGCTCAAGCAACAGTACAATGGGCAGGACGCTTGCCTTGCACAAGACCGACCTGGGTTTGATTCCTAGCACCCTGTCCAGTCCCCTGAGCCTGCCAGGAGTGATCCCTGAGTGCAGAGCCAGGAGTAACCTCTGAGCACCATTAGTTGTGGTCCAAGCACAAAACACAGACCGAGGGGGCTGTAGCAATAGCACAGCTGGTAGGGCATTTGCCTTGCATGCGGCTGACCCAGGTTCGATTCCCAGCATCCCATATGGTCCCCCGAATACTTCCAGGAGTAATTCCTGAGTGCATGAGCCAGGAGTAACCCCAATGTATCAGGTCTGACCCAAATATAAAATATATATATGCATATATATATTTATACAGACCGAGAAAGGGTGAGACATTACCATGCTGCAGGGTAGGGATGGCCGGGGGCTTCAATGCAGGCGACAGTCCACTCTTCCACCCACCAGAGCAGGCCAGGTCCCCTAGCACTTCTGGGGGTGGCCCCTATTTTTAAGGAAAGAGAAGGCCACAGACCACATGGGTGATCTACGCCAGACCTGGTGAATGCTCCTGGTGGTGTGGGCTGTGTACCAGGTGTGCACCCTGGCTCCCCACAGGCAGAGAGGCGAGCTGTGAAGGCACCCTCCGGGCCGTCGACCCGCCCGTGAAGCAACACAGCTACGGGCGCCACGAGGGAGCCTGGATGAAGGACCCCACTGCTCGGGACGACAGGATCTACGTCACCAACTACTACTATGGCAACAGCCTGGTGGAGTTCCGCAACCTGGAGAACTTCAAACAAGGTGGGGGGCTGCAGGCCGGGGCGGGCCAGAGGGGTGGCCAGGGAGGACCCACCCTCCTTGGCTGAGGTTACCAGATGTCCGCAGCACGCCTAGCTCTGAGTGGACAACCATCCCGAGGAGGGAGCTCTGGGCCCCCACCTGCCAGCCAGGATGTGGTTGGGTTGGCCGAGGTCTTGCCCTCATGCCCAGGGCTGAGGATTTAGGTGCTATTTGCCCTATGGGTGAAGCACTAGCATCTCCAGGGGTGGGGGTAGCGTCCCATTTTCCAGATGAACTGTGTCCCAGGCCTGAGAGGACCTGCAGGGTGCCAGAAAGGTGCAGGAAAGGACCCCGGTGGGGATCATTAAGATCAAGCCCCGCCTCAACAGTGCAGGCCAGGTATGAGAGGCAGAGACTGAATGAGCCATTTCAAGCTGGGGACGTGACTCAGGGACAGCTGGTGCCCTGGGGGTGATCTCTGGTGCTGCAGTGCTTGACCCCCACCACCCAGCGTTGCTGCACAGTGAAATTAAAAAACAGTTTCTGTGCAGCATTGGAGGGGAAGGTCAGGGGGCTGCAGGAGCCCAGCCTGGAGATCAGGACAGCCTAACCCGGAAGAGGTGACCGTGCCCTTGGCCATGGAGGGGAGCAGAGCTGGTCCTGCACCTAGTCCTTCCTCACAGTCCCAACTAAGCCAGTCCCTGCCTCCATCAGTACAGAGACTGATGGAAGAGGCCAGTGTCAAGTCCCAGAGGAAGGGTTAGGAGCACTGGAGACAGAGGGGGAGCCCCTTGCTCACTGGGGGAGGACCTGTACCCATGGCCAGCAGCAGCAGCCAGGCAGAAGGAGTCCCCCCACCCCTCCAGCAGAGAGGCTGGAGTCAACCTGGGTCCAATCCTGGCAGCTGAGTGACCCCGTTTCTTCATTCCCCTGTGGGGTGGTACTAGGGGCTTCTTCCCGGGACTGCCCGATAAGGTGGGGGGGCGGCGGGGGCGGGGTCTCTGCAGGCCCCGGCAGTGAGCGGTGACCACCCTTCCCCACCCCCATACACAGGCCGCTGGAGTAACATGTACAAGCTCCCCTACAACTGGATCGGCACGGGCCACGTGGTGTACCGGGGCGCCTTCTACTACAACCGCGCCTTCACCAAGAACATCATCAAGTACGACCTGCGCCAGCGCTTCGTGGCCGCCTGGGCGCTGCTGCCCGACGTGGTGTACGAGGACACCACGCCCTGGAAGTGGCGCGGCCACTCGGACATCGACTTCGCCGTGGACGAGAGCGGCCTGTGGGTCATCTACCCGGCCGTGGACGACCGCGACGAGGCGCAGCCCGAGGTCATCGTGCTGAGCCGCCTGGACCCCGGCGACCTGTCGGTGCAGCGCGAGACCACGTGGCGGACGCGGCTGCGGCGGAGCTCCTACGGGAACTGCTTCCTGGTGTGCGGCGTCCTCTACGCCGTGGACACGTACAACCAGCAGGACGGCCGCGTGGCCTACGCCTTCGACACGCACACGGGCGCCGAGGCGCGCCCGCAGCTGCCCTTCCGCAACGAGTACGCCTACACCACCCAGGTGGACTACAACCCCAAGGAGCGGGTGCTGTACGCCTGGGACAACGGCCACCAGCTCACCTACGCCCTCCACTTCGTGGTCTGAGCGACTCGCGGCCGAGCGGGGCTCCCAGAGCCACTCTGGGGAGCAAATATCTTGGGGGGGGGTATCTAGCCCCAGGGCGAGGTGCTGGCACAGCCCGGGGCAATGTCCATCGCTTCCCTTTGCAGTTTCCTGCCAAGGGCTTTCTGGGCACCAATCTACTTTTTCCTCCCAGCTAGACCCTCAGAAGTAGAGGGTGTTAAATCCATTTAACAGAGGAGGAGACTGAGGCTAAGAGGGACAAAGTCCCTTGGGCTGGAGGGGTGGTATAGCAGGGAAGGCGTTTATCTTGCATACAGCCGACCCAGTGCGGTCCCCAATACCCTATATGGTCCCCGGAGCCCACCGGGACTGGTCCCTGAGCATAGAGTCAGCAGTAAGCCCTGAGCATAGCCAAGCATGGCCCCAAAGCAAAACGAAACAAAGATAAAAGAGGCTCAGAGTTCCTTGACAGATGCTCCCCTCCACCTCCAGCCTTCCCTGTTCTCCCCTCTCTTCTCTGTGCTCTCAGTTCTGCCTTCCCCCGGCTGCTAGTGACGGGCGGGGCCTGTCTCTGCACCCCCCAACCCCCTCTTGGCTCTGCTGTTGGTGGCCCAGCTTGGGCTTGTTGACTAACATCCCTACCCCTCGCCTTTGGCCAGACCCCCTCCAACTCCACCCACTGTCCAACCACATTCCAAACCTCCACGGTCACCCAGCCCCTGAGCACAAACCACACCCCGAGAAAAAATACCAGCCCGGTTCCAAGGTCACCCCCCACCCCACACACTTGTTCTTTCTCGCTGCTTCTGTCATTTGTTTCTGCAGCCGTTGAGGAGGCTGAGGCTCTGCCTGCCAGAGGAGGGCTGGGCTTGGCCCCGGCACGCACTCTCACCCACCAGTGCCCACTTCGGCCCCATACTCCAGCCTCCCGCACTTGCCTCAGTCTCTCCCAGAGCCCCTGCACAGGGGTTCACCTCCTTCCTCTCTACACACACTCAGGGATACTTCTGGGCCCGCTGGGAGCGAGGCCCCAGGCTGGGGCTAGGGGCAAGGGGCCTCCTTCTTCCTGGTCATCTGGGATAGGCCCAGCAGTCTCGGGGCTGAGGACAAGGAAAAGGGAGCCATCGAGAGGCAGAGGAGGGGCAGAGTCTGGGGACCCATTTCCTCTGCCCTCAGAGATGCGGCTAGGGTGACCCCAAGCTCAGGGCTTGGATCTGAGGATGCGCAGGTGGGTCCCGGGAAATCCAGACCCAAGTGATCAGGAGGCAAGACCCTCTCTGAGCCTTGGACAGAAGTAGTAGAAATGGGAAGTTCTGTGGCCCAGCTTCCTACGCACAGAGGAACAGGCTCAGATGAGCCAGAAAGAGGGCCCCGGGCCCCTGGGGAAGGGCTGCAGCCTGTCTCCTGCCAGGAGGCCTCTGTCCCTTAGAGGAAGCTCTACCAGAAAGGTGACAGGTGGTCACGCACCCAGGCCAGCCCTTGGAAGGGTATACTGCTGACCCCCCCACCCCTTCAATCAGGCCCTGCTCCCTCATTCTGCACCCGTTCCCATGCCCGGGAGAGCTGCAGATTCAAACCCTCAGCTGCCAAGTCAGGACGGTGCCCACCTTCGGGTGTGGAGGAACATGATTTTTGGGCAGAATGTTTCTCTCAGGCACAGGCGGGGTGTGTTCTTGGGTGAAGCGGCAGTTATTGCCCCTGAAATGAAGGGGGATGATGACGCAGGGCCAAGCCAGCCCTGACTCACGGCGGTGAAGGCGTCCAGCTGCCCCCGCCCACTGACGCCAATTTTGACGCCGGGCTCTGCTCGCAGGCTCCAGGGGGCCAGGCCCAGCCTGGGCTCCCCAAGACCGCGTCCTTCATGATCTTACAGTCCCACTCTGTGCTCTGTGCTGCATGTTTGGGTCCCTTTCTGCCCCCGATCTGAGGATGGGGGAGTCTGAACAAGCTGCTTCTAAAACACTTTGGCTAGACGGCACTAGAAAGCCCCCAAACAGCCACAAGCGCCCCCTCCATTTTCAGATCCTGGTAGTGGGTCTCGTGGGATAATTCCCGCCCCCTCCATTTTGCAGGTCAAAATGGGGCCGACAAGCTAAGTTCCTTGTCCCGTGGGTTGCCACCTCAGGGAACAACCCCTCCTTGTTGGTTGCACCACATGGGTGGAACGTGCTGTTTCAGGGCAAGGTCACCCACGGAAGGGTCTGGCTTCAGGGATGCTCCCTGCCTGTTCCCTGCAGTCCCTGGCTCCATGCTCGGCTTCCAGACCACCAGCTGTACAGCGGGGGCACCCAGAGGAGGTAGGGTCAGCCTTGAAGGAGCCTCAAGGTCCTGGCTGAGGAATGAGTGTCTCATCCACGCCTGTGGCCAAGCTGAGTCTAAACTCAAGGAGAGCAGAATTCTCAGGCCTTTACCTGTTGGCGGGAGGCTGGAAGCATTTGCGCTGTGGAGGAGGCCCAGGGCCTGCCCACCGACGTGTGAGCTCTGAAGGAGGCCCAAAGCCTTAATGGCCTCGGCCCTGTCTGTCAGGCCAGAGTCCCTGGGTCAGCCGTCCGCCTGCCCCAGGCTCCACGGGGAGGAAGTTGGCCTGCTGCCCGACTAATGTGAGACATCAAGGGGCCGTGGCTTCCTTCCTAGAGACTGGCCGAGCTTTCATCTCGAATCTGGCTGGTCGGGGGGGAAGGGAGGGTCTCTGTCTGAGACAGGGGCTGGAGGGTTTTCCTGGGAGGGGTTTGAAGACTCCTGGGAGTCCCCGTGGTCCCAAAGTGTTCTCTCTCATCACAAAGCACCCCAGGGCTGGTGGACACAGTCTGGAGGGGAGGGGGGGGGAGACAGGGAGATCCCCAGGGAGGGGAGGCACAAAGGCTGGGCAGGTGCTTTGACCTGAGGACTGAGGTTGTCAACTTTCTATTTCCAGGGTGGGGGGTGGGTTGGCACTGGTGCTTGGTGCCACTTTTGGTGGGAACCACGTGGTTCTGTGGACTGGCCCCTGGCTCCTGCTTGCAAAGCATGAGCTTCACCCTCAGTCATTCACAGCCTCAGACCTGCAGCTCACTGAGCACAGAGTGCCCGTGCAGCACCCCTGGAGGATCCGAAAAGCACCTCTATTTCCATCATCGCCCATCTACCCAGCAGCATCCCAAGGTCTGCATGGCTATCCCTTTCTCTGGTGATGAACCTCAAATTCAGAGAGGCTACAATGAGGGTTTGAAACCTGATCCAGGCTCTCAAATCTAAGTCCACGCCTTTTTTCTTTTATGCCAAAGCCCTGAATTGACTTGTCAGGAAGGAATCTTGTAACCAACTGCATTTCCTTTTTTGCTCTGTCTGCCAGGGTGCTCCCAGTCATACAAAAGGCGATTGCCCAACAAGTGTGACACTCCTACTAGACTCCGACTTCATTCACTGTCGTTTTCTGCCTTTAAGTTTATCCTGATGTTCATTTTTATTCTATTGTATTTTATTGTTTTTGTAAGTTGCCACAGTATCTCCTGCAGCAAGGTGAAATCTGCTAAAATAAATGATCAAAAGATTGATTCTGGAGGTCTTGACAAAGCATGGCGAACTGCACCCCTGTCAAAAAACATGCACTTAATCATGGGGAAAAAAAAAAAAAGAGTTTGATAGCATTGGCTTGTCCCCAGCGCTGGTTAATGAACTACAGCAGGAGATTCCTACAGCAGAAGCTCAGGCCGAATGCCAGACCCCTCTGGGGGAGAGAAGCGCCGTTCCCTGAGATCAGACACAAACGAACCCGCCCCACCCCGGACCCCCACCTCGTGTGGCTACGGGGGAACGTGGCTGTATGAACTATCTCCCGAGCAGGGAATGGGGGGGTGAGGGAAAGAAAGTACCTCTAATTGGGGGGCCCCCTGGAGCAGCTCTTGTTCTGTCTCCCAGACTTCATTCTCACATGCAGCCTCTGATTTCTGCTGTTTCCCTCTTGTACCATCTGCAATATGACTGTTATGTTCATTTTACCAAAATAGTTTTATTTCAACAAGAAATTTTATAACCCTCCAGCTAAACACACACACACACACGTGCTGGAATTGGACCCAGGTCTCATGCATTGAGCCGTGCATATCCCCAACCTGGTAATTTGTTATTGTTATATTCTGTTTTACAGCATTTCGTTCTCCCCTGCCCGCCCCCCACCCGTCCCTTGTCACAGTGACCGAGGGTCGCACGCTGTGCTGTGGGGTAGCTCTCACACCCAGGCATGGGGCCAGGGTATCAGGCGCTCTCCTAACTGAGCCCCACCCCCAAGTCCCTTCAAACACTTGTTTTGGTGCTGAAATCCAAAGACGTGTTTGCAGGAGGAGGATAACAGCAAGCAGAACGCCAGTGAGCACAGACGCATGATGGGTGACAAGGCGACGCTGTGGGGGAGCTGTGTCTGGACACACCCCAGAAAGGAACGTCAGAAGATGGGGCTGGAACGGGGCTGGAGGGAGCTGCCCACTGTGACCGGGGGCCTTCATGCAGCCCCCTCCAGCACCGGGCCGGAGCCACCTGCAAACACACAAGTACACATGTTCACACATACTCAGACCCACAGCACGGTCCCCATAGACTCAGGCTCGGGCCAGGCTGAGAGTCTGGGAAGTCTGGCCCAGCTGCTTCTTCCCAGCGACTCAGCAGCCTCGCTTGCCAGGAGGACCAGGGGCGAGGCTGTGTGACCTCAGAGGCCCCGCACACATGGGGGTTCCAGAAGAGGCAGCAGCACGTGCCTCCCTACCTGCCTAACGCCTGCTATGCCTGGCTCTCCCGGGTCTCCTTGGCACACACTGGGGGCTACCAGCAAGGTGGACCCTGTGTGCTGGCTCAGGGGGCCTGGACCCCGGAGTCTCAGCCCTGCCCTTCACCAGCTGGGAACAGGAGGTGACCTCCAGGTTCCAGAGCGAAGACCCAACTGCCTTCACCTGACATTAGGTGCTTCTCAGAGGGGACGTCCACCTGCTTCAGGGTTTCAAGCCCTAAGATCTCCCCTCAGCTGGGGAGCATGCGAGGAAGGGAGAATAG